CCTTTTGTGACCTTCTGACAAGCATATTCACTTAACAACCGTGTTACTAATTTAACAACTACAGTGATTCACTTAACAAATATGGCAAGAAAGGTTGTAAAATGGGACAAAAGTCACTTAACAAATTCCTCACTTAGCAACATCAATTTTGGGCTCCTTTGGGGTCGTAAGTCAAGGACTACCTGTAATAAGGAATCAAGCTAGAAGAGCAAGGTAACAGGATTCCTGATGATGAAGGTCATATTTCTGTGAGGTTCTCCATTTTGTTCCCACTAGTCAGAGTTTCCATTACCAAGGATGGAATTGAACTTAGATCTTGGATCTCCCCAGGCCTAGTCAAAAGCCTTAACCATGATACTCCAGGATTCACCAGCATATGGGTAGTGAAAGCCACCTAGATACTAGTGTGGGGTTTGAGGGAAGACAAGGCTGGGGGGTTGTGCACTTGTGTGCTTTGGGAAGCTTGTTTTCTAGATGGGGGGGGGGTGTCCTTATTTTCTATGTAGGATGGATGCTTTATGTGTTCTTTTCATATACTCTGCATGTGCCCTCTATGGGAGAAATCTGTGTGGGCATTATGTGTGCTGGGAGGTAGCCAAGCTGTTTTTGCCTGAATACTGAATAGCATCTGTCACCATATTTATGACTGGCAGAGTGGCTTATGAAACCAGAAACAGATCATCTGATAAATAGGTAGCTTACTATTTTCATGGTCTTTACCATCTACTACCTCACTTTGCTTAATGTTAGGAGTGACCATAATACTTTCTCAGCATCCCCAAAAGCATGTTACTCATACGTTCATAACTCTTCTTAGATGCCTTTTGTTTATAACTTAACATGTGTTTGATTCCTATTTAAAAAGATAAATACTCCCTCCCAGTGACTTCTGATGATTTAGGAATATGTTCATGTGGTTTGTTTTCCATTCAGAAAGGCTTGCTATTGCCTTCTCTTCCCCCCTCCCATCCCAGTTTTCCAATCTAATCTGCAGCCTTAGACTTTCCTAGTGGTCTCCTATTCAAGTACAAATGAAGTCCAACCCTGTATAGCTTTTCAGGAACAGTCAATGTTGATTATATTATTCTCATAAAGCCCAATTGACAGATTGTTTTTCAATTTATGACTATATCTGACATGAATTCTAAGACATTGTGATGACTCCTCCAGGGGCTTCCCCAGATGCTTCCCCAGATGTCAGTTCAGAGGAGGATGAACTAGTCCCGAGTACTTCAGGAGGGGCATTGGTCAATAGTTCTAAGCAGCTGGCTGAGAGTGATTAGGCTGAAGCACAGCTGCAGCAGGACAACCCTGAGGCTTCAGGTGGGAAAAGTGTGCAGCTACAGCCAGTGAGTGGTGAGGAGGAGGAACTGCCTTCTGCACCTGATCCAAGAACACATAGGGCAGAGAAAGGGCAGGAGCCGCAAAGGTCAGCTTGATAACACATGAGGAGGCAGCCTCATCCCTCATGGGCTGTACCAGAAGCTGGCTATTTAGCACAGCAGACAGATAGAGGTAATGCTGGGAACAATGTATACATTTCCTAGATGTGTGTTTCCTGGTTGTTGTGATTCTAGTCTTGCCTTATATTGACCCTGAGCCTTGACTTTGGATCATGCCTTCTGAATTCTGGACTTTTCTTGCCTTGTGCATCCTGTTGTATTTTGGATTTAATTTTGCCTAGTGGATTTATCTTGTTTGGGAAACTTTCAAGTGCCTTGTGGACTCATGGCCATTGCTCTATAGATTAGCATTGATCTGCTTTTGGCTGAACTTAATTGGGACAGTTCTGGGATTTTAGTAAAGCGAAATGCTGGGGAATATTAGTAAACCCACTAATACACCATTATGTGTACTTGTGAATGAGTGGGACACCACAGACATGGACCAAAGGAAGGAGCTGGAACTCTCTAACCAGGGTGTCCTCTCTCAGGTAAATGGACACCTTGGATTGGGAGAGAGAAGGCCTTACTGCAGATCCCACATTACTGGACTTGCAAATAACATTGGCAGAGATGACAGTGGCCAGGCTGAAAAAGTTCTGCAAAGTAAGGCAAAGACTGGGAGTATCCAATCCCACTTCCCTCTCAACCCTAAATAGTTGCTACAGGTAGTCCTCAAGTTACCACCATTTATTTAGTGACCATTCAAAGTTATAATGGCACTGAAAAAAAAGTGACTTATGACCATTTTTCACACAACTGTTAACAGCAACCCCATGGTCACATGATAACTTGCTGTCCTTGAGTCTATCTAGCCTTCCAGGATTACTGTATTGCAAAAAAGGAAAGGAAGGAGAGTTAAACATGCTGCATAGATTCTATGCCCTAAACCAGGGGTGTCAAACTCGCAATGTCACATGATGTGTCGGGACATATTGTGACTTTTTTTTCATTGCTGGCAATGGGGTGGGTGTGGTTTCGGCATGACACATCTGGCCCTTGGGCCGGCAGTTTGACAACCCTGCACTAAACAAAGCCTCACAATGGGCTTTGTTTAGTGCAGGGCAACCTTGGCTCTTTTATGACTCGTGGACTTCAACTCCCAGAAGTCCATGAGTCATAAAAGTCCATTCTGGGAGTTGAAGTCCACGAGTCATAAAAGAGCCAAGGTTGCCTACCCCTGGGGATACCCCAATAGATGCGGAACCTACTCTTTGTACATTTTCTTAAATGCTCATTGCAGGTAGTCCTCAAATTATCACCCTTCATTTTAGTCACCATTTGAAGTTACGCTGGCCCTGAAAAAACTGACTTATGACCATTTTTCACACAAGTGTTACAGCATGCCCATGGTCACATGATCAAAATTTGGCTGCTTGGAACTGGCATGTATTTATGACAGTCAGGGTCCGGTGATCACCTTTGCAACCTTTGACAGGCAAAGTTAATGGGGAAGCCAGGTTCACTTATACCAGGGGTCTCCAACCCCCAGTCCGTGGACCCGATACCGGGCCTTGGCATGCGTGCAACTGGTCCGCACAAACAAGCAAAGCCCCATCTATGGGATGCAGGCAGCACACAAAACCATGCACTCGCTGGTCTGTGGAAAAATTTCTTTCCACAGAACCGGTCCCTGGTGCCCAAAAGGTTGGGGACTTCTGCCTTATACAACCGACCACCTTACTACCAACTGCAGGGATTCCCTTAAGAGCTGCGGCAAGAAAGCTCGTAAAATGGGAGGAAAACTAAACTTAACCAACTGTCTTGCTTAGCAACAGAAATAACTGGGCTCAATTGCAGTCATTAAGTCGAGGACTATCTGTATGACTTTGCCGCTGGGCTCAATTGCGGTCGTTAAGTCGAGGACTATCTGTATCACTTTGCCGCTCGTTGTAAAAGTGAAGAACCGGAAGGAGAAAAACGGGGTCCGTCTTATTCTAATAGCAAAACCCAGCCCTTTGTTTCCGACCGAGTTCAGGAGTTGTTTTCATCCTTAACCGCAACCCCCCTACTCAGTCTACAATAGGTATTAGAAACGGCGATTGCGTTTGTTAAAGGCACGCGCTTCCCTCCCCGGCTCGGTTCTCCGGATCAATACTCTGCGGATTGACTTTTAAGGCTTTTGGCCCACTTGTATCAACTGAACGCAACGCAGGCGACCCATCACCGCTGGCCGCTCGGCCCACGCTGACCGTCTCGCAAGAACGTCAGCCTATTTTGCATTAAGAGCGCGCGCGGGGGAGAGGGGGGGGGTGTCCCGTCGCGAAACCACGATGCTCAACTCGGTGCAAGTCCAGTCCTTTTGGAAAAGGGACTCCCAACTAAGTTCTGTTTCAACTCACGGCCTCGCCAGGGCAAGGCGAGGCCAGCCACCCGAGAGTCCGCAGAGCTCAGAGGAAACCTGCAATGCGTCGGAGTTTGATTACAGTTTGTCAGCCACTTTCTGAAGCAAGAAGAGCAAACGGCGGAAAGAGCCCCACCCCCCATTACTCCCCCCACCCCGCCTCCTCCTCTCCCCCCTCCCTGAGCCCGGAGGAGGGGAGAACACCCGGCGCTTGGATCTTTTCGGAGCAGCAGGAAAAGGGGCGGCGAGGGGAGCAGACTGCAGAGGCGAGTCGGTAACGTGATCCCTGCAAACATAGCAATCATTAAGCGTCTGTCTCGCTTTCTGGCTGATATCTACCTCTCCCACGGGCGGGAAGCAGGAGCCTTAAGGCAACGGTCTCCCGGGTTGCTCACAGGGTTTAACCTAAAGGGCTGCAATTAAGGCAAGGGGAAAAACTCGCTCGGAATCTTCTCCCCAGCAAGATTTTGCTGCAGATGTTTCCAAGAGAACAAGGCGCAAAGGAGAGAGAAACGAAAAGACCGCCGTCGCCACACTGTGTTAACCCGGAGCAGAATTAATAGACGGGAGAAAGTGTTATTTCATTCTCCGCCTCCCACCTTTCTCTATCCAAGCCGAGTCTTCCGCATGGAGTTGCTTCCAAATTAAATCGGTAAAAAAAAAAAAAAAACGGGGAGAAGCCAGTTTGGTGCAGCGAGTGGAGACCGCGAGTTCGAGTCTCGTCTGAGGAACAAAGCCACTTGGATGACGTTGGCCCATTCGCTCTCGTCATGGCAGTGGCAAACCACTTCGAAAATATTGCCCCCCCCCTCAAAAAAAACCCTGCAGGGACTCAACAATGTCTCAAAGGTATCCCCTCCCAAAAAAGGGATTCCCAAGTCTACAGAGGAAACAAGTCCTACCTCTAAGGCTCGTAGGTTGCTTAAAACCTTTTGTCTGACCTACGTCCACTTGAAATAACAACTTAATCTGGTACAGACTGCGCTATCTTCTCAATTAATGATTGCAGGGATTCGCCTGCAACTATTGTACAATCAAAGAAATCCCATGGCTCCTTTTTCCCCTTCCCTACAGGCTCACGAAGTTGCGGGAAGAAAGGACTGGAGCGTACAAAGCTTGATCCAGCTCGAAAATCCAATTTCCCTAAATCCCGATTGCCCGTCCCACCTGGGATGGCTTTCCACGTGTCCCCGTTCTGCTCAGGGCCGACCTACCTTCCCAGAGCTATTTGGACTGCCTTCAGGAACCATACAGTTTAAAAATCAGGCATCTCCCTCACGCACGTAGCGTATACATTGATTTTGCCTGCCTACCAACCGCACAAGCCTGCTCTTAAAATAATAATAATGTAGGCGTTCATTATTGGGGCGGAGGTAGATTTTGTTATCCGAGTTCAAAGCCAAGATTGATGCGCGAAAGCTGGGCTGCGCGCGCAAAGGCCGGCCCAAAGTTTCCAAAGTGCCAACAAGCGACCCTCCAAGTGCGTGCCTTCCAAAACCCGCGCTACCCACGCACGCAGGCACTCCCGTCCTCTCTTCTCGTTGTTTGGCACACCCAAACGTTTGCGCTCGACGCGCTCCGTCCCTGATCTGCAGACTGCGGGAGGGAGGCGCGCTTGTTTTGTAAACTTTGCGGCTTGCCCTGCCACGCTGTGGAAGACCGCGTGCGCTTTTTGTTTTTGGTTACTTGCGGAAAACCTCCGCCTTGCTGCGGCAAATCTAGAAGGACGCGAGACTGAGAACGGAGGAGGGGAGGAGAGGTTCGACTTCCACGGCAATGGAAAGAAGTAAAATTGCCTCTCTTTCTTTCCTTGCACGCTTCTCCCCCCCCCCCTTTTGGGATAAAAACAGATCAACTCGATGTTACACAGACGTAACGTACACTTTCCACGCAGGTTCACTTTGTTGCATTTCAAGCGCACTAATCTCTCTCTCCCTCCCTCTCTCTCTCTCTCTTTCTGTCTGTCTCGCGCGGCCCACCAGAGTCCTCACCCACCCGTGGTAACTATTTCTTTAGTGGAGAGTTAGCGCACCCGCCTCCCTGCCTATTGCTCTGCAAAAGAAAAAAAAATGCTCACTCACTTTGCCCGCGCAATGCCTCAAAGTTCTTCTCCTCTTGTAGCCCGTCCTCTTTGCCTGAGCAGCCCGAGCGTAGCAGCGCTACTGCCACTGTTCATACTTCTGATCTCTGTATACTTGGTGCTCTCTTTGGGAAAGCTTTTTTTTTTTCACCAGAAACAGATTTCCTACATTTCATCAGTCCACATAGACGGAACGGAAGTTTAATGCTGACTTGAGGGAGGGGAGTAGGGGGTGGGGTGGGGGGGGATGGAGGGGAATAGAAAGAAGCGGTGAAACAGCAAATTCAGGTTTACCATAGGAAAGAGAGGGGTATTGAATTACAAACTCTGAGCAGAAACTTTGGACCGAGAACCAGCCAGTGCTTATTTATGTTGCTTCCAATGCGCTGAGAGGAGAGGCGCGATGACTTTGAAAAGAATGCTGGATAGGATTGATTGGGAACATTTAACGACACTTACATACAGTAAAATGTTTCAGCAGGGGGACATCAGGAGCCAAGGCGAACTTTATTCCTTTAAGCTCACTGGGCAGAATCCATATCTTCTTGAGGCCAAGGACAGTGCTCCCACGGATGGAAAATACATTCTGGCATAAACTAGCCTGGGTATACTTTTCTTCTTGCAGAGCTACAAGCGAATAGAATAGAATAGAATAGAATAGAATAGAATAGAATAGAATAGAATAGAACCTTGGAGGTCTTCTAGTCCAGCCCCCTGCTCAAGCAGGAGAACTTATACCATCTCAGACAAGTGGATGTCCAGTCTCTTCTTAAAAATCTCCACTGATGGAGTGCCCATAGTTTCTGGAGGCAAGCTGTTCCACTGGTTGAGTGTCCTCACTGTCAGGAAGTTTCTCCTTAATTCCAGGTTGCTTCTGTCTTTCATCAGTTTCCAACCATTGTTTCTTGTCCTTCCCTCTGGTTCTCTGACCTCTCCTTCCTTGTGGCAGCCCCTCAGATACTGGAATACTGCTATCATATCTCCCCTGTTTCTTCTTTTCTTTAGACTAGCCAAACCTAAGTCCCACAGCTGTTCTTCATATGCTTTAGTCTCCAGGCATTTGATCATCTTAATTGATCTTCTTTGTTTTTTTTCCAAACTCGCAACATCTTTTTTGTGATATGGTGACCTAAATTGGCTGCAATTTTCCAGATGTGGTCTTAGTAGGATTTTATAAAGCGGTGCCTCTGTTTTTCCAACCAGGATTGTATTAGCTTTTTTTGTTACAGCTGCACACTGCTGGCTCATAGTCAAGTGAACGTCCACTAGGATTCCAAGGTCCTCTCACAGTTATTGTTATTAAGCCAGGTCTCGCTCAATCTGTACTAAATTCTGCCTAAATGTAAGACTTTGCTTTTCTCCACACTGAAACTCATTTTGTTGGATAGGGCCCGTTGTTCAAGTTTATCAAGATCTTTTTGGTTCCTGAATTTGTCTTCTGGGGTGTTGGCTACTCCTGTCAGTTTGGTGTCATCTGTAAATTTGATGAGTTCCCCTTCAGTTCCCTCACCTAAATTATTGATAAAGATATTGAAGAGTACTGGGCCTAAGACAGAGGCTTGTACTCCACTGCTTATTTCTTTTCATGTGGATGTAGTGCCATTGAGGACCACTCATTGATTACAGTTTGTCAGCCAGCTACAGATCCATCTGGTGGTGATGTTGTCTATTCCACCTTTTTCTAGCTTAACAAGGAGTAGGTTGTGGTCTATTTTGTCAAATGCCTTAGTGAAATCTAAGTATACTATGTCCACAGCATTTTACTGGTCTACTAGTTTAGTCACTTTATCAAAGAATGAGACAAGATTGATTTGGCATGATCTATTTTTAACAAACCCGTGCTGGCTATTAGTTATGACTTTGTTCGCTTCTAGTTGTTCACAGATCTGTTTTTTGATTATCTTTTCTAGGATCTTCCTAGGTATTGATGTTAAACTGGTTGGTCTATAGTTTCCTGGGTCTATTTTTTTTCCTTTCTTGAAGCTGGGAACCACATCAGCCCTTTTCCAATTCTCAGGTACTTCTCTGGTGCTCCAGGATTTATGAAAGATGTAGTGCAATGGTTCTGAAATAACATCTGCCAGCTCCTTCAGATGTTGGGTCCCTGTGATTTATATTCGTCAAGGTTGGATAGGTGTTCTCTTACCATTTTCTTGCTTATTTTAATTTTTATTTTTAGTATGTCTTTTGCAGTGGTTTTTTTGGTATGTTGGGCTATAGTTTCTTTTTGTGTGAAGACTGATGCAAAGAATGAGTTAAGCAGCTCTGCTTTCTCCCTACTACCTTTTACTTCCTTGCCATCTTCTCTCTTTAGTGGACCTACAATTTCTTTGACTTTTTTCTTGTTAATATGTTGGAAGAAACTTTTTTTAATTATTATCCTTGATTTCTGTTGCAAGTCTTTGTTCGTTCTGAGCCTTTGATTTCCTGACTTCATCTTTGCATGTTCTCTCTGTCTGCTGAATTATGTGCCCCTCTTTCCATTTTTTGTATTTGTCCTTTTTGTCTTTCAGTTTGTTAGAGAGATCTTTGTGCAGTCATGCTGGTTTCTTCTTGAATTTCTTGTTTTTCTTTTTCAATGGTATTGTACTGGTCTGGGCTTTTGTGATTGCATTTTTGGGGGTTTCCCATGCTTCTTGGGTTGTTTTCCCCTTTAGGATTTTCATCCATGGAATCTTTCTTAGGTTCTCTCTGAATTTGTTAAAGTCAGCTCTTCTGAAGTTTAAGACACTGGTTGGATTGTTTTCTATTGCTAGTGGTTGCATTATATTAAATTCCATATAATGTGGTCACTTTCACCCAGATAGAGAGATAGAGAGACAGAGAGAGATGATGATGAGGATGAGGATGATGAGGATGATGATGATATAGGATGATTAGGTAGGTACAAAAGACCTGTGGACCACATGTACCTTTCAGATCCTTTTTTTTTAATAGACTTCTAAGTCCCACCATCTTTCTGATGAAATTTGGTATAGCAGTAAAACTCTAAACATTGGAACAGGCTTTGCTTGTTAAACTGTCCAATAAAATGATCATGTTAACTCCTAATGGGTTTAACATAACACCAAGTAAAAGGAGAAAAATTCTTTCCTCAAAGGGAGAAAAAACGAAATTTCACAGCACCGGTCCTTTTATAGCAACATATCATTTACCTTGGTCTCTGTGGCTTTTGGGCCCCACAAATAAAATAAATAAATAAATCCTTGCAGGTACAGAAACATACAGAACATTCTGCCTGAGATTATTCCATGTTGGAGGACTATCCAAATATCATATTTAAAATATAAACCTCTTTGAGTTGAGCTTAACTTCTGATACTTCAGAAGCCCTGAGGTGTTTTAGGCTACATTATGAAAGTACCTTGTTGTTGCATTATTCATGAATTCATCATCTATCCATTCTTTCATTTCACTCTAGCCCATAGTCCTGTTTAGCCCTTATCCAGTCCTTCTTAAGCGTCTAGAGATCAGCATAGGCCAGCCAAGTCTGGCCCTTTTCAGTAATTCAGATGAAACAATTTCCCCACAGTAATTGGGATTATTGTAGAGAATTTCCCAGCAGGCACTTCTATTGTGTGACATTTAGTCATTCACATCATTTTGCTTCACCTTGTTTCATGGTAAGATTGCTTCCATATATCCCCATTTACTATCTTCAATATAAACCTATGTGTAAAGTCACAGTGCTGGTTGCATTCACTTCCTAAAGATGAATTAGAATTTTTTCAGCTGAGTGGCAGAGCTCTGTTAGCATTTGCTCTGGGTGCCAAGAGAAAAAACACAGTGAACCCAAAAACTATATTCTGGCATCTTCTAAATTATGATATCCACATTTATTTAATTACTTTACTTACTGTTTGTTATTTTAGCCCTAATGTTACCCAACAATTGCTTATTAGTTCAATCATCTTGTCATTGTGAAAAAAAAATAACTTTTGTTAATTCAGGAAGAAGAAACAGATGTTGGAATGACTGCATGCATATAACACTTGTCTGGTTCAGTTTCCTACTAGTTATCATCCTATCCCCTGAAAAACGACAGAGCATTCCAAATCACTCCTCATTTTCCATTATTCTTTTCCATCTGACAATAAAAGTGGTCACAGATCCTGTTTAAGGATGGGTAGCTGTTTAGAAGTTGGATCATATATTTTGGGTATTTTTCCCTCCTTTGGAGGAAGATAATACAGGGTGGAATTGTCAACCCAACTACGTGTAATAGATGTATTCAACTTATGTTAGGTTATGCATACCTATTTTTATCTATTCCCAAGTGAAAATTGATTTTTTAAAAAAAAACCATCACCATTGAGCAGGACAACCTGATAACATCATCAAAAGAGAATGGATAAAGAGTTGCCAACTTTTTCTTTATTCACTTTATTCAGGAG